TGCCATGACTGAGTGTGTGACTGACTATATAAACTTCTGTGAGGACAACACCATCCCCAGCAGAACAGTGAGATGCTTCACTAATATGTCCTGGATCACCAGTGAGCTTAAGGAACTGTTAAACAAGAAAAAAATGAGCCTTTAGGGATCGAGACAGGGAGTTATTGACGAGTATGCAGAAGCAGCTCAAAAGTCCAGATCAGTTAAAGTAATGAGGTGCATGGAAAGAAGCTGGAGAGTAAAATGAAAAGGAACAATATCAGAGATGTGTGGTCAGGGATGAAGAAGACCACAGGTTTCAAGCAAAAGGAGAATCAGATGGATGGAAGTCTGGACAGAGCAAATGAGCTGAACACATTCTTCAACAGGTTCAGCTCAGGAACAAGCTCATCTTCCTCCTCTCCTGCCCCCAGCCAAACAGACATCTCACCCTCCTTTGACCCACAGCTTTCCTGTCAAACCTCAGATGTTTTATCTACCTGGTAAAAACCAGCCTCTTGTTCTTCGCTTTGCTTCATATAAGGGTCTGGACTCTCAGCTATTGAGAAGCGATCACTTGCTGGGGGCGTGGCCTCTGTGTGTATGTGTATCCCAGCTTTTAAATGGAAATTGTGTGCGCTGTAAACAATCTTACTGAGAGGAGAGAAGTACCGAGCCAAACCAGACGGCTGTAAATGAGTGCTGCAGGATTTGTGAGACAAATTTAATTTGATTTGGAAGCCTCATCAACACGGACTGGCTTCATTCTCTTCCTCCACTGCCATAGCTAAACTAGCAGATACTGCGCAGAAAATCGATATAGTCGTTCAAAACTCCTTCTGTTCTCCGATTGGCCCAGGTAAAATTCTACTGAAGAAATCCTTTTCTATGGGAAAAGTCCCAGACAGAGCACTGAAAGGAAACTAGAACTGAGTGGAATTGTATAGGAAGGCAAAGGCCAGGCTAATCTCCACCAGATTCTACTGAAAACAGTCTCTCTGGATCATTTCTATATTTGTAAAGTATCTACGGTACAATTTCCTGGAGAGATTAGTACACATATAAACATCATGCATGTGAATGCGGTTTGTTTCATTATCACACGCATCATGTTTTTGTTTCATTTAATCTTCTTTTTTTACATTTCAGGTTGATAAATAAGAAAAATGTGATATATCTTTAAAAATCGTGCTCTCCAGAGAGTAAAACTAGTTAATCAGTATCTTTATTTCACACAAAACCACCTCCACCTCATGTATTTCTATCTAATGAAGGTTTAACAAGTAAAAGCTGATAAAAATGGGATGTCTGCTCTATCTGAATGTTACCTTCAGGAACTTGACATTTGGGTAGATTTGCTCTAACATAATGAAAGTGTGACCTTTCTGTGGCTCACCTCCGCTGCAGCGAGTCTGCTCCATTCTGATAAGAGCAATGGCCATGACCCACACTGACATCTGAGAGTAACAAAAGATCCCCACAGCCCGGCTGCTCCACGCGCCAATAACACACACACAGCTCTGGTTATACACAAGACGCACAGCAAAGCTCAGGAAATACACTGATCCAACTGATCCAGCCCAGCTTCTGGATAACATTTGGTTTCAAATAAATGAGATTAAGTTTTGGCAGAGGACGTTTTTGATATAACATCTGCTGTGAAATGAGATCAGGCTTAAAAGGTTTTTATATCCATGCTTTCATCTGACAAATAGGTTTTAAAAACAATCATTTAGTAAAGGAACCTGTTAAATGTTACATTAAAGCAGCTGTTCAAGGACTCAATGATAAGACTTCTGAAATAAGGTTAGGTCAGCAGCTGGTGTCTCACTTCTGTACGGAGATTCAAGGCTCAGATCTTCATGTGATCTAAACTGGATTAGCACCAACAGAACAGAGTCAGATTTAAGGAAGTTTGTTGCCAGAGGTGGCCAATAACAGTCAATTTACTTGAGAACTATGAGTAGTATTTTTTATTACTTTCACCCTGCATGTTTTACTTCTTTCCCTGCTCCAACACACCTGATTCAGTCATTGAATTACCTGTTCCTGTTACAGCTGGCTTGGATCATTTGAACCCCAGGATGCAGGACTGAGTTATGGTGGAAAAAAAGGTTTATTAAAACGCTGGTGTGGTAGCAAACTAAATACAAGGCCTTGACTAGAAAGAACAACATGAACATCAAACATTTAGATCCAACAAGTTGCTTTTTTCTTTTTTACATTTTTTGTTTCGTTTTTCTGTGATATTTGAGAAAGATTTTGAGTGATTATTTAACTTTTTCTCAGCAACACACTGACAGTTTGACAATTTGTTTAAATCTTATCCTGTCCTTCAGTACGAAGCTCCTTCATCTTGCTTTGAGTTTCACACATTTCTGCTGTTCGTCCTCCAACACCTTTTTCTGTTTTAACACTTGAGCTTTCTCAGGGCATCAGTTTTCACTCAGTTGGAAGTGTTTTAATCAATACAACAGCTTTACAGCTTTAAAAAAATACCAAAAACATCTTTGAGAGCTTCCATCCATCTATGCTCATGTAATCTGGATTAATAAAGAATATGGCGTCTAAACAAGCTTTTTTCTTTTAACCTGCTTGAAACATCGTTTAAATCAGAGCTCCTGATTGGCTAAAAACAAGACAAGACAAAACAAAAGAACAAACAAACAAAAAATGCTTTTTAATTTCTTAAATGTTTTTGTTCTGAAATATTCATGGTTGATTAAAAGACCCAGGTCCTGAATCCGTGTATGGTTCTTTCTTTGGTTTTTCCATTTCAAAATAAAATGGAAAAAAAAAACTAATAATGTGTTGTTTTTTTAAAATACATTCTGTCTATGAGGCTGACACTCTGTCTACTTTAAGATTAGACTGAAGACTTTCCTTTTTGATAAATCCTATAGTTAGACTTAGGTTTCCTGAGTTATTCTTCATTTCTGCTGCTATAGACTTAGACTGCTGGAGCACAAACTGAGCACATTTCCTCACTCTGCTGTTGTCTTTAATCTCTCTTCTCCACATGTTTGTTGTAATTATTTCTATCAATAACATGTTTTTTCTTTTTGTCTCTTTTCCAGAAGTAGGTGCACCTGGACCAGTTCTTCTGTGTTTCTCCGTGTCTCTTTCCTGTCCTCCAACCAGCCGGTCGAGGCAGAGGGCCGCCTGTCCTGAGTCTGGTTCTGCTGGAGGTTTCTTCCTGATTAGCAGGGAGTTTTTCCCTCTCTACCATTTGCTCAGGATGGGAAACTGTGATGAAGTGATTCAACACAATCTGCTGGCTTCGCCTTTAGATTGTTCTTTTCATGTACAGTGTCCTGAGAAACGTATGTTGTGACTTAGTGCTACATAAATAAACTGAATTAGATAGATATAAATAGATAGATAAAAACAAACAGACAGACAGACAGACAGACAGACAGACAGACAGACAGACAGACAGTTACTTAGTTAGTTAGTTAGTTAGTTAGTTAGTTAGTTAGTTAGTTAGTTAGTTAGTAGGTGTGCAACAACACATGTACCCGTATCGAACCGTATCAAACAGTGCTGTATCGAACAATACAGATGTTAAAAATTTACTTTATCAACATGTCTTCTGAAGATGCTCTGTGTTGAAGGATCAGTGGATCTGTGTTCGACTACTCCACCTAGGCTGCATTGTCAAGCACAGATCCACTGAGAACCTTGCAATATCAGCACGTTTAATTTAAAAACCTTTGAGGATAAAAATGTTCATAATTAATAAAGTGAAGAAGGTCATGGAAATTTCTCTTTTTTTGTATCAAAAAATATCTAACCGTGACACTAAAGTATCTATAGAAACCGAGAGCAACAGTTTTCCGCGTGTAATTTTTTCCATTGTTTTTTTGCGATAACAAAAACAGTTTTCTTGAGATAAGTTAATTATGTTGACATCATAAAACATTGCTAACAGTTGCTAACAGACAGTCAAGCTGTTTTGAACTCACAAAGGCAGCTGTAGTCCCCTCTCATTAGGTTTGGCCCTGGGTGACCTGTCCAGTCTTGGTCCCATGGTCCTAGGAGGCCTCTTAAAAATTTTTGACTTTCTGCCAGAAGTGTTGCCCTGGGCCTTAGACATGTCAAAGTAGGCCATCAGAGAAGAGGGTCGGTCCAGATTTGAAGAGAATAGACTCACTTTTCAGAAAATACAACCCTGTCATACTGGGGGGTTTCAGGACTTTACTGGGCTCCTGCAGGAGAATCCAGCATCCCAGAGCCACAGGACCATCCCTCCTGATCCCCATGATGACATTGAAAAAAAATCTTCTTTCTAGCTCAAGTATAAAAACTTAGCATTTAATTCATCACCTGACTCTTCTAAACACCGTGTTTCACCAAAAGGATAGGAGCATCTTTCAGGGAGGTGATGAATAGATGAACTAGTTTGAATTTTCAGGTTAAATCCACTGTTTTCTCAGAACTCATTACTGCAACTTTAAAGAGGTAGATGCCAATTTCAAGGAAAAATTCAAGTTCTTTTTGATATATACAGCATCTTTATAACAACAGAAGGTAACTTGATTGTGGTATAGTATTAAACTATGTGCCTGGAAAATGCATAATACCACCGATTTAAAATGAAACAAACCAATGTCGGCCACGTCCACGCAGTACTGCGGGGAGGTGTAGTTCCTGTGGGCGGTGATGGCTGTTACATTCATGCAGTAGATCTGCCAGACGGCTGTGTGGTGCTTGTTGAAGTGGCAGCTGTTCGGGCCGGCAGAAACGTAATCCGGACACTCCTTTTTGGGCCCCTTTCTGCAAAAAAGCAAAGAAAAGATTCTAACACCAAGTGGTTCGCTCCTTTTATTAAAAGTTGATGTGTATTGTTAAAAGATGTGTTTGAGCAGTTGACTGGAGGTGTTTACTTCCTGCAGCAGCTTGGGCTCTAACCTCTAGCCCAAGCTAGGAAGGTCAGAAAGAAACAGATTGTCTTAAAGCTGATTACATTCAGACACTGAAATAAACTAAATCCTTACAGAGTCAAGAAGCTAACTGCTAACTGCTTTCTGTAAATGAGATCTGAGCACAAACAGCCTTTTGCTGCATTTTAACCATAGATGCTTTGATAAACGGCAGGAGCAGCTCAGCAGTTAGCAACAGGGTCCTCATGGCCCACTACCCTGCAGGTTTTAGTTGTTTCCCATTTTCTTGGTCTTTCAGTTCTAACTAAAACATGCAGGATCGTGGGCCATGGGGACTGGAATTGAGAACCACTGAGTCACGACAAAGTTTTGGAACTCTGAAGTTCACTGCAGATGTAGCTAAGCTATAGACAACAAGACTAAAAATAATTGAATAAAAATGTATTTTTGCATAAAGATGGGTTTTATTTGAATAAAATCAAATGGGTAGAGTCACTAATACTGCAGTACCTCTTTACCTTCAGCTTATTATTTGCTCCCGCTATCAGCTTTGTAACAGCATCAGATTCACTAAGCTAACAAAGCTAATTATTAGCTGGCACAAACACATTCATCTGGTTCAGTAGCTGTGACTAATCTGTACACTCATGTCAGAAAGCAGCACAATTTAATAATGTTTGCCACTAATGCAGCAGGAACAAAAGTGACAGAAAGAATATAACCATTCTTACAGTGGGGATCTGAGATTTGTCTCCTGCCAAAAGGAATAAACGGGTATGGATGGATGGATAGATGGATGGATGGATGGATGGATGNATGGATGGATGGATGGATGGATGGATGGATGGATGGATGGATGGATGGATGGATGGATGGATGGATGGATGGATGGATGGATGGATGGATGGCGTTACAACTTTAAGTTTGTTTGTTTGCTCGTTAAGTTCTGAAGTTTATATTATTTTGACATGATGGGTAAAACCTTTCATTTTTGTAACTTTTTGAAAATGTTTCAAACTTCATATGTAGTTTTTTGTCTCGTAATACAACAGTTTTGTATTTTTGTCCTTTGCCCTCTATGTCCCCTTCTGTTACCTTGTACTTGCTTTTTGTCATTTCATGTCTCTATACTGTATGTCTTTTGTCTATTTTACATCCTTGTTTTCTTTTTATGTTCTTTTTTATCTTTTTAAGTTTCTTTATGCATTTTTGTTTTCCAAAGACTTACAAACTCTGAGGTTTTTCATCACTACATGTCACATCAGCATACTGATCCACACTAATCTGTTTCGTAACATTTTTATTCTAACATAGCAGCAGTAAATGGAGGTAACTCTTTTCTGCATGTTGTATTTTTATTTTTTATTTTTTTTATGCCTCCGTCCGAGGAGGCATACTGTTCTTTGGTTGTCTGTCTGTGCATCACCCTGTCTTGTGTGCACTGTATCTCCTGAACGGAACTGAAAAAACTTCCAACTGGACTACTGACTTCAGTCAAAATTGACATGATAATTGTTCGTGGCCCAACGGCAGTCTGAAAACGTTTTGGGGTCAAAGCTGAAGGTCAGGTAAAGTCATCTTTGTTGCTTGAATCCCCTTATTTTGGATAGTACACTGAAACAAACAGTCACTGAAATTAATGATACAGTAAATATGAAAGACGAGGTCATGTTTACACATTGTTGGTATAGTTATACTTCTTAGAATATTTAAGTCCAAAAACAAAAGGTAAACAGGTAACTGCATGCATGCCCAGTGATTTAAATGCAGACGAGTCCAGGGCAGGCAGAGGCATACCAGTTGATGCTTTGCCATCGAGTTCTACCTTGTTATTTTTTAATGGTTCTTTGCTACATGTTTGGCATTACTAAGCATTCATGTTTTACTAATGAGGGTTTATTTGCACCACTTTGTGTGATTTGAATAAAATATGGATAGTAAATATCACTGTCTCTAGAGGACACCATCACTAAAGCTCCAGTTCATTCCAAACAAGCAGAAAATGTTACATTCTCCTACATAAACTGTTTCAAATTGACAGATGGGCAGCTGAAGGTACTGAGAGAAGATCAGCTCAGGCAGTTTTCAATTAATTTTTCTAATTCATTTGCCTCTGGTGCTGGGGGGGGGGGTGGNGGGGTGGGGGCAAATGTACGTAGCTGTAAATTATTGCAAATTTAATTAACACAATCTGTGGGATTCCTTGAAAAAATATAACAGCTAATCAGAATTCAACAAGATACCACTGCTGTGGGTGTTTGCTTTTCTCTGCAGCAATGACTCATTAAATGTTGAAAAGCATTAAGTACGGGACAAATTAATGAAAAACTACAAGTCTGGAAAAGACTTTAAAGATTGACAATGAAATGAAGATTATATTTAAAGATATTTTGTCAAAAAATGTGTCTAAATATCCTCTAAAAATCAGAAATCATCGTTTCTAACTCAGCTGAACAGATAATCCCAGATTTTCTTCTGCTGCCACCAACACACAGCAACAGAACAATCAATGCTGCTGTGAAAGAACTCGAGGTCAAAGGTACAATCCAATTTGTCCTGATTACCGCCAGTGTTTTCTGTTCGCCCAGCACTTGTCTGAGTCCACGTGAGGAGGCGTTCAGTCTCAGATATTGACGTCTTAAAAGCTTCGTGCAACAGCAGAAATAAGGTGGGTTTTAGCAACAGCGCTCACACGAAACAAAATGCCCCAGGGTGCTGCTGGTTTTCAAGTTTCAGAGGCAACAATTCAATTTCCCTTATACTGCAAAGACTTGTTGTAGTAGTAGCTGACTGTCATTCCCAAAACGTACCATAAGTGCTACTGATTGCTTAAATTTTTTGCATTAACCATTGAAAATATTCCTAATATTGCATTATACTTTCAGCTTTTTGATACGGTTTTGCTATTTTTAACTTGTGTTTTTATATTTTTAGCTAACATTTTGCTAGTTTCAACAAGATTTAAGTATTTTTAACTTTTAGGTAGCATTTTGCTGCTCTTTGCCTAACCTGTGCTACAACAGATGGCTCAGGTTCAAAGGAGACATGTCACATCCGGCGGCGCCGGATTCATTTTCAGGTGGGGGGTCTGCGGGGGGCGTTAATCAGCCGGTACCCGGAGCCCAGGAGTCAATATGTTGACGAGTCCGACGTGAGAATGTGCTCTCTGTTCGTACGCGCTCTGAATATCAGATGCACACGTTAAGTTTTGCCACATGGTAATCTCATTGCGTACTGTAAAGTCTTTCTTTTGAAAATGAAAAAATTTAATAAAACAAACTGCAGTCATGGATAAGATGTTTAGTTTATTTATTATTATTTTTTTATTTTTTTTACATACTTTTCAGTTCATCAGCAGCTGCTTGTGAGCATAAATATGAATGGAGCAGACATTAATTTCCTGAATCAATATCGACACAAGTGTTAGAATTTGCGGCACATTTTTTGAGGAAAAGGAGGGACGTTAGCCTGCTTTTGTTAATCATTTGTTGTATTTTCTCATAAAAACAGAKTTGGTCTACTAAGTTTAATTAGCAATGATTATACTTTTTTATTTTAACAGTTTAATTACGAATCAAGCTTTACCTGTATTAATTCATCATCAAGCAACAATTAATTAATGAAGTTTTCACCTGTGATTGTTTTAATGATGATCATAATAAATCTGACTTCTTTATGGATGACCATGAAAAAAACTAAACACGTAAATAATATCCACACTGTTTGGAACAGCGGGTCAGAAACCTGCGCTGGAACGCTATTTTTACACAAGAGATGGTGAGTAAAGCAAACGATTTAAGTAATGTAGTTAACAACAAACTTTATTTTGAGGGGGGAAATAAAGAAAATAACACATTTCCTCATCTGGCAGCATTTTCTCCAAAGCGACCTGTCAGCAGCGCAGCAACAAACTGCAGCTTCGTTTGGAGAGCAACAATAATGACAAACTCCACACAATTATTTGTCAACACTGGCAGGAAAAGTTATCTGCTCTGGGCCAAATGTAGGTGAGCATTTGGACCGGACCTGTAAAGGATCATGGGCTCCTTTATTTATTTATTTTTCTCTCCACAACCCGTCAGCTTGGATCTGGAGATCGGATGAAAATTCTTATTTGATTTTTAAGCTGATTTGGTCGACCCTGATGGGATCAGAGCCAAAACATTTTTTGCACGTGTCAGGCAGGCTCGTGATCAGCCGGATCCAGAGCTGGAGAATTTGCGTAAACTCTCCGACTGTTCGGGTTGTGTGCACTGCTCCCCATTTAAATACTTTATTAACTTATTATCAAGAGCTTGTTCTCCTTTTCAAATCATTGTACAAGTTATGAACTGTACTGCCCTTTGGAGAATACTTCACCAACAGAAGTGTCAAATAGATGAACTCCAGCCTCCAGCTTGCGACGCATGTGCGCATCGTCAGCTGAGCGCTGCGCAACAAAACCGAACCATGTGGATCTGATGACTTATAAACAGATTTAGTCCTGATCTTAATGCTGTCGGTTTTGTCTGTGCCTGTCTGTATGTAGACAGAGAGACATCCTTCAAAACTTGTCAGCGTTGGGTGCAGCCTGTAAATGTCCGTGGGACCAGCTGATGGGCAGGGCCGTAAAGTGGGGGGGGGGGGGCAATGGCACCCTGGCCCCCACTATTCCGGCGCTGGTGGTCATATCCTTTATTTTTTTACTTTTAAATCATTCAGTTGGGGTCTACATAAAGTGGAACTGAAACACTTTGGTCTGAATTCCTCCTTGATTTCTAGAATTGCGCAACTCAAGGTGGCAACATGTTGGAGTAGATCTGTTACATTCATTATAAGGTCTTCTTTTTAAACTTTTTAAATTCCTCTGTTTCTGATGGAAAGAAAGATGTGAAAATGAGAAAATCAGCTACAGGCTCAGGTTCAATAGGATCAAATCAGCTGCTCTTCTAGCTCTTTTAACAACTAGCTTAAAAAAACGTGCAGAAGGCAGAGCTGATTGAATTTTCAGCTCCTCTGCAGCAGCTACAGTGTTCCTCATGAACAAACACACCCACGAAGTTCTAAACAATCACACGCTCCGAACTGCAAGGTCCGCATCTCATAGTTCTGACTGAGGGGAATGCACAAGACGGCCGTCACCAGGGGATAGCAGTGGGAGAGCAGAGGGAAGTCATGCAATTTTTAGTCTCTCAGCATGGGGAACAAGATGTGCAACTTGAAGTATAAAGTCTGGTTTATACTTCAAGTGACACGTCTTGTTTTACGTTCGCGTTTTGATTTTTTTTTATCATTTTACCAACATTTTGCTATTTGTTTTAGTGCTTTGCTACTGCGAGCATTAATCTACTGTTTCAAGCTTTTAGTTAGTGCTATCTGGCTTGCTCACTTTTAGCTTTTTGCTATCCATTTGAAACTTAAGCTAGTGTATTGTTTTGTTTAATCTTTGAGCTAACACTTAAGTTTTTTGCCACCATTCTATGTTTCGTATCTGTTGGGCTTGTTCTAGCTACAGTTCCAGCTTCATCAGCAAATGTCAGCAGTCGCTTAGCTCTTAGCATTCACTCTTTGTTAAGCAGGTGATGCAATTTCATTTCAGCCAAGTTCACAGATATTAAGTTTGATGTGGTACTAGCTGAGTCTTCCATAAGAGATTGCTCCTAGTGTTATTTTCAAGGTTGAACTAAAACAGCTAAAACTTGATCATTTTTCAGCATTGCATGATTTTTTGTTTAAAAGGGATCCACAGTTAGTTGTAACATTAAACTTTATTTGATAAACATTTATTTTAACTGTAAAATAGACTGTAAAAATACTGTAGTCTGTTTAGTTTTGTAAATTTTTTAAATCTATTTTAACACGGACGGAGCCATTTTATTTACATACAAAGCATTCTGGGTAAATGATGACATCAACCAGGTCATTGGTGCGAGGCTGCTAGGGAGTTACATTCACCCTGAAGGTTAATCTTGGAAAATATCTGACGATTGTCTCTTTTAAATGAAACCAGAGAGTGTTGACAGAGAGGAGAAGGTAGAAATGGCTCAGTCTGTAACTGAAAATATAGATGGAGGACCTCAGTTTAGCCTGTTAGCCTTCACACTAGCCCTCACGTTATATTGCCTTATATGTATTAGCTCGGCACTAGTGCGACAAACAAGCTAAAATGAGGTCCTCCATCCATATTTTCAGTCGCAGACTGAGTCATTTTTGCGTTCCCCTCTCTGTCATGTGGATGGTGGACCTCAGTGACGAAAGCAGAATGTGTAGCACTGAGCTAATACATGTATACGGTGATAGTGTCGGGACTAACGCTAAAGCTAACAGGCTAAGCTGAGGTTCTTCTTCCATGAAGCAGCTCTGTTGTCCTCCATCCACATTTTCAGTTACAGGCTGAGTCATTTACCCAGAATGCTTTGTGTGTAAATAAAATGGCCCCGTCCGTGTAATATATTTTTAAAC